AAGCAGACAGATGGGTGACAAGTACGACACACGTTAAACATTTTCTGGCTTCTTTCTCGCCTAATTTTCCCCAAAGTACTAGATTTACATTGCACATGTGAACAGTGGCAATAAAAATGCAATTTTAAAGATTCTAATTTTAACTGATACACATTTCTCTATTCTTTAGTTCTCATTATTTTTAGTCACGCTTCTTATGTTTTATATGTTTGAACAATTTATTGGAAAAAAGAGAATTCTATCTATAGTAAGATCTAAAACACTAGTGGAAATTTGTAGCACACAAGGCTTAAGCATTTCAAGTATTTCATGTTAAAAATCTGATAAAATTATGGTAACTAACTCAGAATTAGATGTCCACTTTCAAAATGGAAAAGCCAAGTTTAGTTCTGAAAACGTTTACGATTGTATTGGTGACATGTTAAGAAAAACTAATTAATAGCCATTTTGTAGACAGTTGGAATATAATAGCAAAATAAATATCAAAATCAGTGGTGCCTCAATATAACACAAATATTTAAAGAAAAATATTGTTAACTGTAGCTGGAATGAATTATATGTATCTTCTATGAAAAGCAATTTAGAGGTTTAGTGTTAAATTAGGCTATTTAAAAAAAAAAGAAACAACATTTATAAAATTGAAGAATCTAGAAAAAAGGCCTTATGAAAGATTCTCTTTCAGAAATTGTGACATTTATAACAATGCAAAGTAACAATCTTTTATCACACCTAGAGAATCTAACCATTTCCTGTTCTCTGACCTTTAGATAGTGAATATATGGAGAAAAATCTCTTATTATTTGGATCCACTTTAGTTTCTTTTTTTAGAAAGACTTTTAATAGAAATAAAAGGAAATAATAAAGCAAGTGTTAACCTTTATTTGAACTGTCTGTTGCTATTCTAAGAAAGTATCCTCTGAAAGGCAAAAAAAATGTAACACAATTATTTTCTCTATGTAATAATACTGCATTAGTACCAGTTATTTTGAAATACGGCATCAGTTAACAATTAGGAATCTTGCCATAAATACAATACCTAATATACCTATAAAAAGAATTATATTTTAAAACATTACTATAATATAAATGATTATGCTTAAGCTATTTTGTGTTTTCCTTTTTTCCGAAAAACTACTGCTTTTCTTACAATAACATTAACATCCTTTGTAAAGCATCAGATGACTAAAGTGGCTCTAGAATCATGCTCTCAAAGTTATATAGTGCTACAAACAAATGATTGAGGCCTATACTTCCATAGAGGAAAGAGACAAAATAGAAGCATTTAACTTTTTGATTAGGATAGGGTATATTTTAAGGGTGTTGATTTGAAAGGGATCTATGAGGGCCAGGAAAACAAATGACTAATGAACTTGCCAAAATTGAAGTGTGACATATATAGCCAGCCTAAAAGCCCTTTAAAAAATATTATTTTATACTTGGATATTCAAAATTATCAGTGAATCTGAAATGCTATAGTAAAAGATTATTTAGTTTTGAACTGTATAAACAGCACCAATCTGTTATAATTCTTGGTGGTTTTTGGACTTATTTCCAATCCCTTTCAACATGTTAGCTCTGTTTATGTATGGGTAAATATGAGAATCTAATTATGACAAATGCAAATGTGTTGCCTATGTTTACACAAATATCTGAGGATTTTATCAGGGAAGATGTTCATGTGTTTTCTCTGTGATCTGTGTAGGTCCCCTCCCCTCCCCCCCCCAAGCCCGGTGTGTTGAATGTATGCGTTTTTGTTGTATGGGTACACTATGAGTTATAAGGTTTGCATATACTGTACTCTGAGTCTGATAATCCATAGACAGAATGGAGAGGAACTTAGAATGGAGCTGTTGGCAGCATCCCTAGCTGTTGCCTCTCCCAAAGGGATGCAGTGGGAAAGCTTCTTCTGGATGTTTTCTTCATAGCTCCTAGCAAGATCTAACCTATTTTTGAACTCAAGCTTTCTTCTGAATTTGGTTCCTTTCTGTTCTTCTTCTTCTTTTTTTTTTTTTTGAGAAGTCTCTTGCTCATGGGCGAGTCCCAACTTTTTAGAATAAAATATTTCTAACTGAAAAGAAAAGCTGAACATTTCTTCAAAATGCTACTCTTGATGTAGATTATACTCAATGTGACTACCATCTGTCACACAGGATTTTCATTCATAACAAGAAATTACATCATCCGAATCCCTTCCAACTTGTAAACATTCTTCCTGAACTATATGTCCAAAACTAGTCTACTTTAAATGAATTAATGCACAATGACTTAAGCACTTATAGTGAGTGAGAAAAATGTTTGCATAGGTGGCAAGCCAGCAACCATTCATATGTTCAAAGCTGCATTTCTTTCCAAATCCACCATCATAACAATGGTTATTGGGTCACTTACAAACACAATTCCAGATTATGAAGCATTTCTTTAAATACTAGTTCTACTCATTCGCACAATTTAATTATATGAACCAGCCCTCAGTTGTTGTTTTCCATAAAATGTTGCATTGCAGAGCTGTTCAGCAATGCAACACTGCCTTGGGAAGAGATGAATTCTCCTTAGCTGGAGAAGTTGAAACAGATGTTAGATAACCTATCAAAGATCTTCCACCGAGCAGTGGGTTACACTAGATATCTCTTAAGGTTCAACCTTTATGTTGCAACCTTTGCATTCTCTGATCTAGGAATACTAAAATTGAAAATACAGAACTTTTAACAAAAGTTAAAAAGATATGTTAACTGTAAATTTATAAATATATTGCTTCCTTGGTTACCTAAAGCAAATGGCAATTTATTTCAGGTAACTATGGGGAGGCATTTTTAAAATGAGAAGAGTAAGCTTGAGTTTTAAGACTCTAATAAAGTATTTCATTCTATGAACAACAAACATTCTTATCTGTATATAACACAAAACAATTATATGAGCAATTCTAGATAAGCCTGGAAGTTGTTCTTTCTATTCTGCAGTCATGAATGAATGAATGAAATAACTTTCTAACTCACCTTAATTTAGCGTAAGACTAACTTCAAGAACAGTTTACCTATTATGTATTTTTAAAAAGCCAAGTTAAAGGCACAGTAATATAAAGATGGTTTGTCTTGTGGACTGGGTGCTATAACAAATTTCATAAGCGAAGTTGAATTCAATAATATTCTACAGTTAAGATTTGGACTCAAAACTTTTGCATCTTTAACAATTATAACAGAAGGTGCAAGGGGAGGGAAGAGACCAAAGTTGATAGGAAACAGTGATTTATTCAGCAGCATTATGTCTAGATGAGGACATGGGTAGACAGACAGAACAAAATTATGGTAGCAAAATATTTACAAACCTACAGCTTCGTATGTTACTATGACTGCAGAGTAGAAAAAGGCCAGGTTCATATATAATACTAAAACAATTTTAATATAACAAATAAAAATGAGCTATCATGAACTTTGGCTCTTACTTCTTTGTGGAAAAAAAAAGAAATTCAAGAGTTTTCATGTTATTCAAAAGTGTGTAAGTTTAATTCACTTGCTTAACGCTAGTTAATTTAATCTGTAGTTCAGTAATTTGGTTTGTCTTAAACTAAAATAGTAAATGTCAGTTAGTTGATAGTATTGTCAGGCAAAAGAAAAAGGGAACAGGAAAAAAGTGCATGTCCTAGATGCTGTTTCTCAAGAGGCTCACAGCTTGGTTTTCTCCCACTCAATACATGTAAAACAAATAAGTGTGCAAAGGGTGGAAAGGCATGTTTGTTTAGAACTGGGTCCAAATGTTCTTTGAAATTTCTTCATCAGAGAAAGTGGGTGGGCTATTTCTCTTTATTTCTCCAGATTCAGGAAAACTTTTCCAATTGTATCTCAAGAGCAGGATTCCGATGGTATCACTATTATTCTGTCATGGTATCTTCCCTTGGAATTTAACGGAAGCATAGGAAATTAAGTAGATTGCAAGCCACTGAAGTAATTATTGTACAGTGACGGACCGAGCAATCTGGGTGTATACTTTGCATAACTTATAATAAAGTAGTGCAAGAATACCACATGCCATTCTTGAGAATTTTTTTAAAAAAATGAAAGCAGTTTTAAATCCTCTTTCATTAAACTGACAGAAAAATGAATGAAGAACGTCTTTGCTCTACCAATACTATCTGAAGAACCATCTGATGGTGGAAGCACCAAATAGTTAATGATATCCAACTACTAGCTAATTCAGAATTGGGGGTGGGGGTAAAGCCTGGTATGCTTTTGTGAATCAAAGATTATTCTGACAGTGTATTGCTGTATACTGTCAATGTAGCATCTGTAATTACTAGGGAAAGGGAACTGGGGGCATGAATGTATAGAATTGCTTTGATTCAATGCTAATTTTTTCAAATATGGGTATGAAATACTAATTAGATATTGAGTATGTGCTGAAATGCAGATGCTGCAGGTTTTCACTCTGGTTAGATAATATGTGAGTGGGGTTCCTGCTGGAATATGTCTGAGCACGTTTGTTCTTTCCTTCATGACTATTACTAACAGAAAATGTTTAGCAGGAAATGAGTCTTCAGAGAAGATGTGAACAATTGGAAGCTATTCCATCTTCTGAAGCTGTATTTGTTTCTTAGCTACTACTTGAACCCTCCAGTTTAATGGAGTACCATTCAACATTAAGTTAGTTCTTAGCAAAACTGAAGCTATCTATGATCTCTGAGAGATGATTAATTTGATATACTGCATATTACGTGATAGCATGTGATTGATTTAAGCTTGTTTTGCCTACAAACAAACAAATAAATAAGTAAAGTAAAGTAAAGTAAAGTAAAGTAAAGTAAAGTAAAGTAAAGTAAAGTAAAGTAAAGTAAAGTAAAGTAAAGTAAAGTAAAGTAAAGTAAAGTAAAGTAAAGTAAAGTAAAGTAAAGTAAAGTAAAATAAAATAAAATAAAATTATTCGTGGCCGTATAATATGAGTCTGAGATTTTGTTACAGCTCATTTATGCTTAAACATTTTATACAAAAAAATATTTGACTTGTTCTTACCTGTGTATACAGTTTTTGGATTCAAGATACGCCATCCCAGCAGCAACATCTAATGAGAATTTCACCAACTGTTTGGTTTTTAGCTCATCCTTTTTCTTTCTTAAAAAAGAAAGAAAATCACCTCCTAGAGAAATAGACAGATAAGCAATGAGACATGACAGGGTGATATTTCTATTTATCTCTCATTAGTGATGCTTGACTGAACAGGAGGCAATGTACTCTCTGCTGTTCTTTTCAATCAATCTGATGGTTGAGTAAAAAGAATAAATGAAAATATAAAGATGATAATTTAATTAATACTAACATTTTAAAAACTATTTTATATATATTTCTATAACAAGATGAATTCTGCACATTGCATAGAAGAATTAAGCATCACCCTATGCGTATTTATTTATATTAAAAAATCTATTCTGCATTTTCATCATTGAATTCAATTCCAAAGTTAGGTCATTTCACTTAAAAAGAATTTACAGTAAGCTACAGTAAGCACAGGACATGTCTACTATCTCTTAGCTGATATGTAAACATGGAGAAAATGCTCTGCTGTCTCATTATTCTGATTATTGGAAATGATGTGTGCTAGTTACATAATGCTTTTTAAGAAGGGCATGGAACATTTGGGGGGTTTGCATTAAAGTAATCCATAAAAAGTAACAGAATGGGAACTTGTGTACTCATGAAATTAAAGGCTTACAGGAAGGCATGCTCTAAGTTGTAAGAGGAAATGTACTGAGGTACAGGAAGAATATTTCTCATATCATATCTGGAAAAATCATACTATCTGGAGCAAGTTTTTTTCCCCTGCAAAGCTCGTGTTCTAACCACAGAACTACGAAGCTTCCTATTTGATCAAGATGCAAACCTCACACAGCTATTTTCACTTGTGCAGATGAATTTGAATAAAATATTTCAGATATCAGTTTGCGACACTCTATTGTGGCTCTGTACAGAACACATTCTCCCGGAAGGTCTAAATTTGTATGTCTAAAATAACAATTTAAATTATAGTTTGGGAATTTATTTTCATTTTTATCCTACTGCATCCCCTGAAAGCTCATTAAGATCAGAGGGAAAAAACTGATATGAGAATTATCAAATACAATGGGGTTTTATTTTATAGAATCCATTTATTAATATATGCCTGGAATTCAAGATCTTACACAGTTTAGCCCCGGGATAGATCACAGCAGGGGTAAGTAAACTGTAGCTTATATATGCCTTCCAGCATCTGCAGAGCTGCTAAGATTTCTATGCTATCTTATTTTACAACTAAGAAGCAAAATAGTCTTCAATGAGGCTTAAGGGTCTTATTTTACTTAAACTGCCAAAAGGGAAGAATTCTAATTTTAGATACCATATCTTCATGTTCTCTGCAGCACTCATAGGGTTCAAAATTAAATTAGAAATGCATTCCCAAAAGGGAAAAAGGGGTGCCTCCCCTGCTTTAAAAAAACCCACCTTTTTCTAAGGCATATTCAAATAAATATACATATATTAGTAGGAATCAGAAAATCAGCATAGGCATTATTTTCTTTATACAAAGATTTGCTTTTTAACACAAAATATTGCAAACTGCAGAGATGTGCTTATTTATTATATGAAATCATTAACAACTGCCTTCGTATAAAACTGACATGAGTGTGAGAGGGATTAGCTTAATTATCAAATCCTGAAAATTTTACCAAGTATTCCAAAGAACCAGGCTTCCATACATAGAAAGACTCAAGATATGATGACTTAATTACACGCTGTTTAGTTAAAGCTTTCAAGAAAACAAACTGCCCTATTAAACCCTTTCATTGTTTTCTCACCTATATTGTCTACCACAGATTATATGGTTCTAATTTATGACTTCAGTAAAAGTGCTATCACATTTATGAACCAGATTGAAAACACTGGAGAGTAGTAAATAAAATTCAGCCCATCATTAGTCACTTAAATAATAATAATAAAAAAAAAAACCAAAGTGCTTTTACATAGTCTCAAGTGTGTAATTATGTGCTTCTTTAGAAAATGGATGTGAAAATAAGTGTTACAGTTGTAGACTGCATTTACATAAAATATTTTATACTCCAATAGCCATAAACATGGTTATAGTCAAGCCCCTAAATATAAGTTATACATGGGATTAGATGAATTTATTTATACATAGATTTAACACCTTACTAATACATTCATATTACTCAAGGTGATTTACAATAGTTTAAACAGCAAACTAAATCAGCAAAAATAAAACCTGATGAAATTAGGCATAAGGGATCCTACAGCCACTACTTTCTAATCATCTGTTATTTGTTCTTTGATGATAATAAACTGAGGCATTCTTCTCAAGCTTTTGCATCAATCTTGTTGAAAACTTCCCCAAATCATCCTAAAACCAAGTTCTATTTAAAATGTGCAACCTATTTGGCAGAACATTTTGAAAGATCTTTTTTCTATTAAATAATGCTACACCTTCCTCATGTTCTGAGCAATTAGGTCATTCTAGAAATAATGTGGTTTCTATGATATTCCCTTCCCTCTACAACTCCCATTGCCACCTTCCATTGTGGAGATTCTTGGTAAAATGAGAAATATGGATAGAGATAATCAGATAATTCACTAGATAATTTATCTAGTGAAACTTTTTTTTGACTGTATAGGAGAAAAATATATATATTCTCCTATACAGTCAAAAGAAAAGTTTCACTAGATAAATAAACAAATAAGATAGAGTCTTGACATAGGAAGCCATACTTTCCAAATAAGTCAACAGGACAAATGCACTTGTACAAGCAGAAGGAATTGCTTGGTTTCATTCCAATACCAGTTCTCACACTCTCAAAATTTCACTTAAGGACACAAAAATCTAAGACATATGTTTTAAATAATGGAGAATATCTTGTTTGGGAATGGTACTTGTGAAAAAATGATTAAATTGGTTAGAAACTGAATGTAAGCCAGATGTGTGATAAAACTATTAAGAAAAGCAAATGCAAATTTTAGGCTACCAGAAGAATTATTTCTAAATCTTACAAAGTAATTATCATGTTCTATTTTGCTATTTTTGGTTCTGAGCACTTGAAAGAGTATTGTAGAAACTGAAATAGGTTTGGAAATGAGCAACAAGGATAATCTGGAGACTAGTAACTATAACACCTTTCAAATTTCTGAAATTATGCCATACAGGAAAATGGTAAAGTATTTTTTAAAATGATTTAATTAATTTATATGGCTGCACATCTCACAACAATGACTGACATACAAAGAATAAAGCCAACTATTTACAAGCAACATTCCATGATGCTTGCGATAAATAATATATTTTACTCATAAAGTTACATTAACAGCAGAGCTTGCCTAACGACCTGGGGAAAGAGCCAGGTCTTCAGAGCCTTATAAAAGGCTAACAAGTTTGAAACCATCCAGATTTCTGGGGGTGATGCTATTCCATAAGCAGGCACTGCCACAAAGAAGGCATGACTCCTGGATCCAACAAGATGACATTATTTATAGAAGAAACTTGAAACATGTCTTCTCTACTAGATCTGGTGGGATAAGTAGAAACAATGGGAGAGAAGCAATCCTACAAGTAGCCTGGCCCTATGGCCCCCATCTTGTTGATTTTCTGAAAGACACTAAAAATGTGGTTTCGTCAGCAGGCCTGGAAATCCCAAATGGAGATGGACTGATCTAGCGGTTGGTTTAATTGAGTTGCTGCTGTCATATGTGTAGGTAGTTTTTTCTGGTTTCTAGATTGTGGATTTTTAATGTTGTAAGCTACCCAGAGTCACCTGTGAGTTGGATGGCCATATACATTTAATATACATACATACATACATACATACATACATACATACATACATACATACATACATACATACATAAATACATACATACAAAAATATAGGGCTTTATAGTGGCAACCAGCATCTTTCATTGCACCTCACAAAGCAGCAGTGTTATATGAATGTAGCAAGAAATGCAAAAACTGTCCATGGCATTGCATTCTGGGACAGCTTGTGATTGTTCTTCAAGGTCAGCCCCACAGAGGGTCTAAAGTAATCCAAGATCTTCTCTTCAAAGGTTATACTAGTTTATGATTTTGAATTGTTTTAGAAGTATAGTTCAATTATGCACAATTAAACATACTATCTGTAAATTTCCCTGAATTTATTATATTTTGATGTTTGAACTTTAAAATGATTGTCCATTCATATTCTCTCTATCTCATTGACCTTGCTCTATGGATTTGTGTACTGACTACTGAATGGGTAGTTCAGTTTCTTGAATGCCTGATTTGATTTCAGGCAGTTAAGCAACTCTGTTTAGTAACTCAGAACAAATTAGATTGCAACACAGAGCCTGGCTATAGACAATGAATTTGATGGTGCGTTCTGGATGTAAGCAGGTAAGTTTACCAGATGTTATCTTTCTATTTGTTCAACAAAGTCCTAGCATTTTGAGCAAATAGAAAATAAATTAAAAACATACAAATGATATAGTCAATTATGTAATATTTTTAAAGGAAACCATTATTTGTTTAGTTCCCAATAATTAGTGGCTAGTCAATAGAAATAGATCACTTTTAAATAATATCATTTTTAAGACAGAACAATCTTGAACTATAAAGAGTAAAAATAGAACTCAAAATCTACAGAACAAAGAAAGAGAACACTTCTATATAGTACCAAATGACTGAAAGAACTAAATATAATGATTTGAAGTTAAGTGCTTTGATTAAAGCAGTGCCAAGCCCAAAGAAAAACTTAAGATTGAGGATGAGAATCAAAAATAATCACAGAAATCATAATAATTAGCATAGTTTTTCTGCAGAAGAAATGCTTGACTTACAAACACTTGTAGATATTTTTAGTGTTAACTGAATGTTTATAGACCATTCATTTGTATATCAAGTTAGCAAATACCAAAAGTGTTAAAATAAGATTTCCCATTGACTTATATACCATTAAAACCTCCATTGCTCACGTTATTTTTAAGATAAGATTTTAAAAACAATCTTAAAATGTGGAATAAATCAGCTTTGGAAGATCATACTAATCAAAAGATTCCATGATGTGAGTCTTTAGTATAAAGGATTTATTTCATAATGCCTAAACATGTTGAAATCACAGGGCCGTG